GGGTGGGGGGGGGGGAAATAGTACAGTCGGTATAAAGCAAACTATATTATGTTTTACTTTGAATTAACTGAGTGTCCCTGTTTGGTAAAAAGTAAGATTCATTTCTAAATTGAATTCTTTTGTCAATATTGTTCCAATGTTGTTTTATTCAGAGTTGTTTATAAAGTTACATAAAATCACAAAATGGACATACTCCTTGCCTTTAATAACAAAAATCTTCTTTAAACGAGGCTTCAGTACGAACAGAGGGTGGACTTTCACATGATGTAAATTACGGGTACTTGTTTTGGTGAGAGGTGTTCAGTTTGGACCAAGGTCAGTGAAAGAAGCTTATGACACAGTGCTGCTATTTCCACAATCAGTCCTCATATTTAACGCTGACAACGGCAGCATTCTGTTGTAAGTACAGTGCAGACGAAGTTTTACAGCTCATTACCATTGAAAATATCGGTCTACACGCTTCCTCTTGTTCCAACGTACTCTTATAATCACCAATCTTATACATGTATATTCTTTCCAACTCCAGGAGGAGGCGTGTTGATCTGTTCATGTAAGTTCATCTATAATTCCATAGTCTATTAAATTGATGACATTCAAAGAGAGTTGGATCGATTTACGTAGACCGCTATTTACAATGGGAATGAGCCCATAGTTTCATTGGCCATGGGAACATTATTAGTTTCCGAGGAGAACGATAATTCTCTTGAAAGTCGACAATCAATCCTGAGTTCAGTTTATTTAGTTTGTTTAGTTATAACTCCTTGGTTTGTTATCAGTAATTTTTACAGAGGAAAAGCATCTGCAAATTAAAAAGCAAGATCGAGCCCCAAGGCTCAACCGAAGGATCCTAGTTTTTAATATAAACAATTCTGCAGTAGATTCACCGTGTCATTGCAAAATCTCGCTCGGTACTCCAAGAACTGTTAAGCTGACAGTAATCTAGTGAGACTCCCCACAGGGATAGATCGATCTAAAATCTGTGTGAATGGGGTCTATGAAACGTGTTCTGGTATGACCAAAACGAAAGCGGTAAACACTGATAATGGTTGATACGATAACAACTGGGTGTATATTTTCACCTCGGCACGAAACTCAGATAACACTTCTTTTGAAAACGCAAAAGAAAAACAGGATTATTATCTTAAATAACCAAACATAGTTTAGTGTTAAGCAAATAAAAGCAACGTTATGTGTCACATAAGCTCTTTGTTAAGTAGGAGATAAGCTCTAATAATCATTTACAGTGGGGAATGTCGTTTTTTACATGCATGAACGTCACTAGAATGTGTTTATTTGAGATAAGACCGTTAGTATCCGGGTGCCGCTAACCCTCTATAACGAAAATTATAGACGCTGCTATTTAACAAGCTAACGTTGCTTGGGGCCTCAGATAGATTTCTGCAACATCAATGAACTACTACTTTGGTAACGCGCTCCCAAACATTGGTTTTTCTCGGTTCGCGACAGCAGAAAAATGAATCCTCGTGTTTTCTGTGTTTTGATTATGGTCTACATTTTGAGCGCCGTCATTCACGGGGAGACGTACTCTTCAGAATATATTTCGCAAATGCAACTCTTGTATCGCACCAACTTACAAATAGAATATGTAGAGAGGGCAATGAGACGACTTTGTCCGGCACTGATAGTAGAGCTGGGTTCTCTGGGAGTGCCACTTAGCCTCCTCAGGAAAAGAAGAACAGCAATGGACCTGGACCAAGTCAGACTGAATGTAGAATTGGCCAAGCACGTGCTGTCCACGCTTAAACTGAACCTGTCCCCGGCGTGTCAGGTAAACAAAAACATCTGGAAACTCAGCGATATATATAATATCATCAGTCTGTGTCTTTCGTTTCCAGTTTCAGAGATATTTGGCAGTCGAACTTTCCGTTTACACGTAGACATGTGTTAATATTATTTATGATCAACGCAGCTACATTGTAACATTCTTTTAAAAAATAATTAAAATTAGAATACTGAAAGAAGAGGTTCGACTGTTGGGTCACGTTTTACGTTGATAGATCATATTGTCACAACATAATGTAGTTCGATTAAGGTTAAGTGCCCTGGTAGACAAAATCAGATTAAAAAACTTTATTCATGTATAAGACTGGCGAAATGAGCATTATTTTTTATTAAGTTTCTTCTACCGGTACATACATTTAGAAACTTGGAAGAAACTGAAAAGTACATTTCCCTATGTCACTTTGACATGAATGGTTTCCTCAATATCGCTCTCGTGTCATCCAAATTACTATGCATGCTTTTAACCTCTTAAAATTGAACAAAACTTTAAAATGTTTGCATGTCGCTGATTTTTCAGAATTCAAGTTGTTCGAATTCAGTTTGTCAAAACGGGGGTTCATGCATAAGAGGTCCAGGATACAACGTTTCATGCGCATGCCCGACAGGATATACTGGCAAGAAGTGTGAGATTAGGGCAGCCTCTGTGACGTGTACTGCAACCTGGTTATCAGCTTGTAAAGGGACGTACGGAACTGGACGCTGTTCGTGAGTTCAAGATCTCTCTCTCTCGTGCACACGCACTCATACAAACACAAATTCACATTCGCACACCACTAATTTTTATATCAAAATTCTTGCTTCTTTCCAGATTGGAAACCCCTATGTATGCACTGTTTATGTTGAAAATCTCCCACAAAAGTGTTTGTTTGGCAAACAAATGAATGTTTGTTTTTTAACTGACTCTGTGATAAGGCACAACCCAATTACTTGTTGATAAACATACCCATGTGTTAGGAGTCACCACTAACTGACATATGTGTGTCACCGCCAGCAACTTCTCCCAGCTAACTGGATGACTTGAATGTTAAGGTTGATCAATCCTGGGAAAGGGGGGGTATGTTGACACAAATGAACCGTCTTTTTTCTTTTCTTTTCTTTTCTTTTCTTTTTTTTTTCCACTGAAACTGATATTTTTGCAGATTGAAGAACAGACGCTTACGTAGTTTTTCTAAGGGTGTGGTGATGTAAATGTCAGTATTTGGTTCCATTGTGGGGATAGCAAATCTATTCTTTTACGTTCGGGTCACTCATTGGTTACATTTGAACACGCTTTGCACATTTACATTTAGTTTTGGGCAACTAGGCAACTCACCACACTGAACGCGTTATTCGATATTGATCAAAGGCATTGGAAAACAGATAAACATCACAGACACGAGGAAGATAAATGTAATACCGACGATGTACCCGTAATTGAACGATCCAGTTTTACGTTCAGTACCAACACGCTCAACAGGAAAGATTGCCATGAACCCTGGTCACGTGATACTCCACGTGACAGCTCAGGCACCTTTGTGATATCTCGCAACTTCTTGTACATGTAGATGAAGAAGAACAGTCACTCTCTTATTTATGACTTTATCTATTATTTCAGTTTCATTTGTCCGATCGGCTGCATTAATTCAGGCACCGTATGGGGGACGGGGATTTATACAGGGGTAAGTTATGGTTTGCAAAAAGGGGAGAAATGGAAAAGGAATATTTCTGTCTTTTCACTGTCATTACTATCCTCGGGTGTTATATAACACTTGTACATTCAACATTGTATTGTCATTAAAACGGATGGATATTCCACATTTTTATACAAATTACGCACAAATCCATGTTTTAGTAATAAGTAATAACAATAAAATACTAAAACAGGTGGCACAGAATTAGCAATGCCTTAGTTTATCAACATTATTTGAAACTAGAAAAGCATTCAGACAGCGCAGACCTCCGCCAAGGCAGCAAAGTCCATACAATGCCTTTTCACCCCTAAACTTTCGATATTTTTGATTATTGATTGATTATTGATCCGGATCACCACCAAAAAATAATCGTCTGTTCCTTGGCCCACTTCAGCCAGTTATTGAAAATTTCATCAAAATCGGTCCATAACTTAGTTTTTTTATTATTGGTTGATTATTGATCCGGATCACCACCAAAAACTAATAATCTCTTCCTTGGCCCACTTCTGACAGTTCCTGAAAATTTCATCAAAATCGGTCCAAAACTTTTGAGTTATGTTGATGACAGACAGACAAACAGGGGTGAAAACATAACCTCCTTGATGGAGGTAATAAAACGGTCAGTATAACATTTTGGGGTAACAAATAAATCTCCACTTATTTATTTATTTATTTATTTATTTATATCGTCCTATGTTGGCAGGACTCCAGATTGTGCCGAGCTGCCATACACGACGGCCGCATACCAGCTGCTGGTGGAGTGGCCACAGTGATAGGTATAGGAGCGTTACAGGCCTTCAGAGGAACAACACAGAATGGGGTGACGACATCCAGGTAGGAACCTATCATCAGTACAATTATGCTAGTGCTGCTTGTTTATACTGTACATGCATTTTTTATTTTACGTGGGGGTGCATGTTTTGAGTTTTTGATTAATTAGAAGCGTTTATGTATGGGAGTTTTTGGAAGAGGTTCGTTAGTGTTGCGATGTGGTGTTAAGTAAGGTACAATTAGAATATATTTTCATTATTATTTAATTCAATATTTGTATGACGCATTTTATGAAATGTAGTAGACAAAAGAAAGAGTTAGTCATTGTGTTGTTAATTAATAGGAATCAAAAAAGATATATTTGTCTGTTTTTTAATGTTTTAGTTTAAATGGATTGCTTTCTTTTTCAGCTACGGTAGCTATGGAACTTCCTTCCGTTTCGTCTAAACAAAAAGATAGCGTCAGACAATGAGACTTGTAATACCCAAGAATCTCCTTCAGAAGTCTGCATTATACCATGTTTGATGGCGTGACGTCAGTTCTAGGCGATCAAGCGTGACGTCACAATGAATTATCACTGCATTACTACCGCCATTAGCACAAACGAACTGCACATGCCACGCTTGTTTCAGCTTTGATTCCTTCTCAGTTTTCAATTCTCATGTTTTGTTATCATATTCAGAATAAATGCATGCAGCTTGTAAGAAGGAGTATGTTTTTATGGTTTTGGCAAAGTCAGATATGATGTTTTATGCAACACTTTTCATTTCAACTTCTTCTTCTTCTTCTTTCAACTTATTATTATTATTATTATTATTATTATTATTATTATTATTATTATTATTATCAAATTTGCAACCCGAGGGATAGATAAATACATTCTTTGCTTCATACATGTAGTTGAATAAAATCCCTAGTGAATAAGAACAGAGGAATATTAAAAAACATATGTGAACAAGCTTAAAATAAAATAACTAAAACGCAAGGTTAAAATGAGATAAAAGTCTATCAGTCAATTTTGGAACTTGTATATCGCACTGGTTAAAAAGACACTCATTGATCGTTTTATTTTAATTTTAGATCTTTTGAATGTCTCCGGTTCCTTAATGAATATTTGACATTTTGTTTTGGTTGTCAAAGTTAATGCAATCTTTGATCCGGTTCATTTGATATCCTAATAAACATTTTTTTTTGCATGCATTGGTGGATTTAGACGGGGGATCGGGGGGGGGGGGGGTCATGACCTCCCCTTCGGTTTCTGAAAAATATGCCACCAATATTCCCCTCTTGAAATTAGAATTTTGACCAGCTAAATCATAATTCTAAATCGTAGGCCTATTAAAGGGCACTGTTTGCTCTCCAAAACACCATTTTTTTGTCGGGTCCGTTGAGCAGGCCCCAAACCCTACACCAAGAGGGCGATGGTCGGCTTCGCATCCGAGTCCTGTCGCTCCGGACAGTTTTTGGTGGTGATCCGGATCAATAATTAATCAATAATAATCAAATATTTGCTGCCTTGGCGGAGGTCTGCGCTCTCGGAGTGCTTTTCTAGTTTCTCTTGCAAATTTTTACAAAAGTTAAAGGGATAATAACTCTTCGTATGAAATCTTTATATTTCACAATAAAAACATTGTGAATAACTCATAGAAATATAATATATTCTGCTTTGCCACAGAAACGGCAGTTATAGCTATTTTTTCTGATATCTGAGCTTGTCTTTAGACCACGTGACCTCCATTGATGGCTATACTCTGTTAAAATCTCATAAGAGATTTTAACAAAAAACCAAACTTTTTAGAAAAAAAAACAGGGACTAACTTTAAATGTAAAAATGGATTCATTAACCATTGGTAAGTATGGAAAATTGTTGTTTACTCCAGGAAAATTCATTTTTGGCCGAAACGAAGAGTTATTACCCCTTTAATTACTAATCTTACTTCAGATTTTAGCGATCTCTTTCGATGTACGCACTGTTTCACAGCGAGAAATCATAGTGCGCGATGATTGACGTTTGTGTATATAACCTGTCAATCAAGCTGTTATTGCTTGACAGCAACTATCAAAACTAACTGACTTTGATTGGCACCTTGTCAATCAAAGGATGAAGGAAGCTTGAACTAAACGTGTTCGACGACTATTGTGACCCACTGTGTAATGATTGTAACTGACGTTTGTTTATGTAACTAACTGAATTTGATTGGCATCTTGTCAATCAAAGGATATTGGATTTTTACATGTTCGGAGAGAAGAGTGAAGTAATTGTGTTTGACGTTTGTTTAAAAAAACTTTCATTCAAATTAAAGTCGTGTGCGCTTGACAGCTTCCATCAAAGATGAATTAGCCTGTTTGAATTTGATCCATATAATACCTGTCTATAACAATACATGCCGTAGCATTCTGGAGGTAGGAGTCTTTTTTTTTTCATTTGCAGCGCGTTAAAAAACGTCGGGTTCTTTGTTTCAACCGAGAGACTACATGAAATTTAACAACGTGAAAGAGTCCCGGGTTCTTTCACAGGCGTGTTTTTATTGCACTAAAAGTCAGTTTCATTTTTTTTTTTTTTTTGTCTGGATATGATGTAACATGAATTAACGTTGATGTCGATGTTTGTTGCGCCATAATCCTTTCCTTGGTGCTCGTTCGAAATCGGAACTTCGTATACGAACTGAACATATTACTTTAATCATACTCATGTTCTTTTACACCCAATGAATATTTTTGATCATTTTTAAAAAAACGAATGGTAGTAAAAGTAAAACCTTGTCATTTTTTTTCATGAGCTTCGAAGAGAAAAAATGCCGAGATAATCATGTTAGTGGCCAGGTAAAATTTAAAACTACCGGTTTTGTTCGTTCCTTATAAAGGACCAGGGCAATAAGTAGCCCATCGCTGTATATTGAATGGAGCGTGCGTGAAAACTGTTGTTTTAAAATAAACTTCACAATAAAAACTGCCAAATTAAAATTGAAAACAATTTTACGCAAAGCGTTAACAATCTTTCGAGCTTTAATCTGCGATATATTGCTAGTACTTCATAAGTATAAAAAAACTCCAGATTTCAAAAACGTGTGAAAATTAATAAACTAATAGTGGAATAAGTCGGGCTGGTTTAATCAAAGAATTGAAATTTTTGGTTTAATTTATTGAAGTTGTTCGTTCAATATTTTATACTGTAGGCTATTTCATCAGATTTGTAAAAACTTATCTGTTCATTATACATAAAGTGGTTGCTACGCCCTATAAGATTTAATATTTGATCGAATATTTACTTGAAACATACTTTTTTTATCTAATTAATTTTATTCTATTTTTAAGTAAAAACAAAATTAATTCAGCATCAACAACAGCATCTTTGTTTTGCCTCATCTAGCACATTCTATGAATTTTTGGTCCGAAAGCGCATATTATAATGTAATAGTGACATTCCTCTCTTTTAGTACGTAAACAAAAGAACTACACTCAAAAAATTGTCTGCGAGGCAACTTCATATCTTGGCTTTCTTTGTCCCAAATTTGCCCTTAGAAATACCCACAGATACTGAGCTTACTTAAGCCCCGATTTAAGGGTCATTCATAAGTAAACTCAGTACCGGAAGAACTTTATTTTTCTCTTTAAATTGAACACCATTTCAACAGGCACCCGTCTCCATGGTGTACATTACCAATGTAATCTATATACGGAAATGGTCACGGGACAAATGAAATGGAAACTGAGCCGGTGCTCGTTTCAAATTAAATGTATGCCAAATTAACATGATATTTTAAACTTTTATTTTCTGAAAATTAAATTTCAATGGGATGTAATTCCAACACGGCACAGTTACGTATATTTAACATTTCACATAACACAGCTTTTGTGGAAAAAATTCAGTAAATTTTTCATGTTTTTGCCACTATGATTTCAGCACCTCTCTAGGATGGAGGGGGGTCATGATTGCTCGATATTATACGACAAATTCTAAAGTTGAAATCGAGGCTTCTGTACGGAAGGTGGTCAAGTATACATGAGTATTTTGGTGAGAGGTGTTCAGAAAGGACCAAGGTCAGTAAAAGATGGCGAAGAAAGTCTTATGTCTCATTGCCACAATTTTCACGAAATGGTCAGAAATCTGGGACTGAAATTGGCATCGATCTGTGGTAAGTACTGTATAGATGATGGAAGATAACATTGGTTATTTGGCGTTAACGATATCAAGGAGTTATAACTCCTTGACGATATTAACCAAAAAATGGTGCAATTTGCAAATAAGGCATCATGTCGACATTTTGTCTTGACGTCAACAATATTTTTCCCCTTAAATATCCAAATTCAACTTGTTTATTCAAATTGTAAATAGCTAATTATCGGTTCTTATTTTCATATGGAATGCATTTGCCAGAAAACGGGTGGTGAGAGATTTGCTCCAGCAGTGAACGCGTCTTGCGTCTTAAACAATGTAAGGACATATTGGCAGGTAACTTCATTCTCAGGTCCTAATTTGTTTTTTAAAATTTTCAAAATCCACCGCAGCAAATCCCTTCCCGCAAATGTGCACATGTCGTGACTATGTTCTTCTTCTTTCTAAGATCTCATAAATTTTGTTTTTTATTACCCTCCTGTCATATGTTTATTTCTAAAATTTCACTTTATACGTAATGCGAGGGCCACTATCTTTTTAGTTGCACCACTGACGTGTGATTCTAAAGACACAGAATGTTGTCACGTTACAGTGTGTACACGGTGTAAAAGAATAGAAATTATATTGTTTGGAAGTGCATGGTTACATAGAACGTACGTGTCAGCTGAGTTTATATATATATTCGTCTAATTTAAAAGTTGGAAAGTGGTTTGTTGAATATTACTATCGAAATCGGTTACCGTAAAATTAAAAATTGCTTTATTTAATCAACCCTTAGACATTGTTTTTTAAGGTATCTTTTGTTTGATTTCAGTGACTCAATCGTGCACGAGAAGATTGAATAAGTTCTCCATCAAAGACGTCAGACTCGTGTTCCACAGCGGCTGCATCCATGTCAAGATTACATGTCGCTTGTCAGAGTTTGTCTGCTAGTAAATTTGCAGGGTTGAAACTTAATATAAACTGTAATTTTTACTTTGGGTTGTGAATCGGCTGTAGTTATTTTCAAACTATCACAAAGTAGTGTTTAGGAAGAGTACTTTGCTACACGAACATGTTGTAGTGGTTTATTACCGTGTAGGTGTGGCAACATAAACAACAAGCACATGTAGGACGACCGGTTTTCTTTTTGTTCGTAACATATTTGTGAGGGCAAATCTGCAATTTGGCACTTCTCCGTGAACAATTATTTATTTAATTGAATTCTAGTATTTATTTTGGTGATGTTTACTTTTGGAAAGAAAGAAAAACGTCTCAACCATGTATAATGCATTTATGGAAGTCTCTGGGAGTTATAGTGTGTGTTCTGTTAAAGAGAAAAGAACGAGATGTGCATCCACCAATAATTAATAAATCGCAATAATTTAAATAATTATGCTTCAGAAATTGCAGCATTATTAAACTGGCAGAATGTGTCATTAGCATTGCAGAACTGTCCACAAGTATTGAAACAATCTTTCTTTAGTGTGAATGTCCGATTGTGACGCATATAAAATAAACTTCACGTTTCAGTGATGGGAGGGGTCAAAGGTCACCCTGGTTTTAGAAACGAAACCAAGGAGTTGAAATTTTCCCGAAATTAATATACATTTGTGTAGTGGTAGGTCACAAAGGAAAATCGTTGTATTACAGAAGGTGTTTCATTTCGGAATATATCTTCATTAAAGGGTCCATGTAGAACTGACATTCATCAGAAACTTTTACACACTGAATTTTCGACAAATTCTTGACAAAGTCAAATAAATCATTTTAGCTGCCTTTTTTTTTTTTTTTTTTTGAAAATGAGTACTCGATGAAGGTTTTAAGATTGCCAATTTCTGTCAGTATACCCAACAAAGAATGTGATATAATTTTTAAAAAGCAAAATTTACATTTTCGTAAATTTACTTAAATTTTGGCTAGCAGTTTTTTAACCAATTCTTTGAAAAACCATCGAATTATCGTACAAAATTACTTTTTAATTGTATTTGCTTGTTTTTGCTTCTTTAAACAAAAAATGAATAATTGTAATTCTCTCAGTATAAAAAATTTATACAAAAGTGTGTAGACCAGCGCTCTGTTAAAGGTTGGCCTTGTGCCTTGTATTTTTTTAGTTGACTTTTTGGTCGCAATCAAAGGATGATTGAAGAATAACTTCTTATAGGATGTCAGTCTTGCATGTCCTGTTGAGTTATAATGTCACTTGATCACTGAACACCGGAGACCAGTTTGAAGTTTATTAGCATTGTCTTAGTAAATGTGATTGTCAAATATTTGCTTTATTTTTTCCGTTTTCTCTGCACGTTATTCTTGAAGATGGCTATGGTTGAAATAAGCTTGTAAGTTGGTCATGTCGTTATGACGTTTCTGATTCGAATGCTGTACAAATTTCAGTTTTCGCTCAAAGTTGTGCCATGAAAAGCATATTTAAGCAATTCGTATGAAAAAAAACTCGTCTGTTTTGGGCATGACAATATTTATCGATGAACTAAACAAACAACCAGGAATCTTACAAAATTTTATTATTTTATCTACCTTTTCTTGTTTTGTGAACATCAGCAAGACGACATAGTGCTGCATGTGGGTACATGGGTTGGGATAGGATGACGTTATATGCATATTGAATTTTCTATATCGATCACACCAGTGAATTTAGACAAACATTTTTGGTAATGTTTTGGTTTTTATTTTATTTATTTATTTATTTTGTTAATCTTGTTGGTATTATGTCTATCATAATATTCCTATTGTCTATTGTCTATCATAAATCAAAAAGCTACGCCGGCCAAGCAGAAATGTTCAAAATGCATAGAATCTTGACATGTTTTAGTTAGATAGAGAATCAGTTCTGTTTGTATGTTAAAGCTTAATTCACATTTCATAGTACGTTTTATGAAATTGACATTGATGTAGAAGAAAAGGTATTCCAAGTTTTATACTATTTTGTGAAAACAATGCTGTTACTTTTTGTATTCATTTGTGCAATAATAAATGTGCTATATTGTTTTATGAACAAAATAGAAGTTATTTTTCTTAACTACAGAACCACCGACTCCTCTTACTATCCTGTGTTCGCAGCACTGTTTTGTAGAAGTCGAAATTCTTTATTTGGATTTATTTTTGTAAAAGGTAATTTGCTGGGACCCAGTGGCGCCAGGAATCGAACCTGCAACCTTCTGTCTGAGAGGCAAGCACGTTACCTTCTCCTCTAACTGTTCCCACCCACCCTCCCCGGGTAGACTTTTTTCTTATAGTAACCAAAGGAAATTTTCAAAAAAACTTTTGGAATTACTCGGTTTTATCCAAGTGCGCGAGCAGTAAAGTAAACCCCAACCCGAGGGTTCCAATGAACACGAAAATAATACAACGCACTGAATAATTTTGGTATTTCTTTATTAATACCAAAACAAATTTCCATTCCATATAATGCATGTGTATTTAACCATCTTAAAACATCAGTTTGTGGGACTACAATTGTGATTTTTTTAAGTTTTGAAGGTTTGAATATAATGATATCAACAAAGTTATTGAGATCCTCATTAGAATTCACTAAAAATGTAACAAATTCAATCTATTTGATTTTACAAATAAAATTATCAACTAAACTACCCGTGTTTGACCTCATTAATATTAAAGAAAATAATTCAGAATAAAACTTTTTCCTTTAAAAAACAACGCAGGATCTGGTATCCACCCCACCTTTAACATCAGAAAAATCGAGAAGGAAACCCACTCTGGACTAACATTATCAAGTACACACAATGCTACAAATTACCTAGAATTTCACATTTTGACTAAATTTAAATGTTCCAGATCTGACGTTGATTTTTTTCTGTTTCTAACCATACGATATAATAAGAATTATTTCAATAACTAAATACCTAAAATCATGAACAATTCTACAACTCTTGTGACAAATGTTTTGCAATGAACAGAACAAAAATTAATTTCACATAGCACATGTAGAGAGAAAACATTTTTGCACCTACTGATCGATCCAATAAAAAGTAAGTTTTTCAAAGTTGAGCAGATTTTGAAAAATGGTATCAATAATTCTTTCGTCTTTACACAGAATCCAGATTTCTTTGAGAGACATCATCTTTCAGTTACATTTTACGAAAGTCATAGTGTACCTACTACGAACCTAGACATCAGAAAATTGGTTCATTAACAAGAACAAGCTTATGAAATTAAGTTTTCTAATCTCTTCTCTGAGCGTTTAAAGTAAAGCAAAGGCACATACCCCCCCCCCTCCCCGTAGTGAGTGCTCGTCCCATATGTAGCTAACATACAACAATAAATCACCAAGGCATACAATAATCAGAACAGTTAACAGCGATTCGACCCATAAAGTCATTAAATTGAAAAAAATAAAAATAAATTAGCAATAAGTTACCAAGGTACACGGTATCCAGAACAGTTCAAAGAAATAAGATCGATAAAGTCATTTAATTTTCTTAGAAATTTTAACAACAAATCATCAAGGTGCAAGGTATACGGTATCGAAAACAGTTTATAGCATTGCGATTCATAAATTCGTTTATAGATTCAAAAAAGTCCCTCTCGTATTGAAAATAGACAAAGGCCAATTTTACTTATGGCGGCAACATTTTGAAATTTACAACTCAAAACGTGTTATTATCTATTGTAAACCGCACTGGGAAGTAACAGAGTACGGCATATAACAACTTGACTTTTTAAAACTTTTATGCATCGTGCTTTTGTCCTCGGTGTTGGATAAGAGAGTGCTTTGGTGATAAAGTGAAATTGTTGAATTTCTCAGGATGTTATTTTCTAGGTTAAGGTGTAACGCGCATTATATGCCTTTGAATTGAAATTAAAACCCATGTTTTTGAAGAGAGTGATATTATTTTATATGCTGAACTCAAAATAGTTAAGAACAAGAAATGAAAAATTGAAGCCAGCAAAAAATATTATTTAATGTAACATTCCCATTTGTCATTAATCTTTATTGGATAAATGAACACATTTTTAAAAAGCATAGCCCACAAGACATTAGCAAAAGCAATATTATTCAATGTAATATTACCAATATGTAAATAAATTTAAACTGGACAAATCAGAAGAATATTATCAGCTGTTTTATCTTATAAGAATGAAGTAACTTTCTTCAATCAACAGCTTAATAATGTTGAAAGCATGGAATGAGGCTATCCAGGTGAGTAATGATGAATGTTCTGTTAAACATCGAAATATTGGAGGTAAAGGTAAACTATTTCAATATTAAGCTGTTCATTGAAGAAAAATTACTTCACTCTTTACTGGATAGAGGAATATATTTTCTTAAAGATATTTGCAAAGAAGTTTTATAACTACCTATTTTCCTACATATACTATCTCTCTCCTTCTCAAAAAGAATGAGAAAAATACACAAAACGTTTACTCCTACGACTATATAACGCAGTTCAATTAACATGAAGAGCATATGAGATATGAAGAGCTGGCGAAAATGTGGAGGAAGCAAAATGGGGAAAATTTGGGGTATTTCCAAAACTAGTTTTAAGCATTCAAGCATCAAAAATAAATCACAAATAAGTTATCGTCAAATACCTAATATTAATATTTTACAACGTTGTACTAAATCGGCTGAAACTGATATTTTCGTATACTTAGTATCTGGACCGCCTCGCATCCACTCCCTGGTCACTCAAAACTGATGACGACGTGACATCTCTTTCTGGAGTGTTGGTTACATATGATTCATGGGGGAGGCGGCAGGAGATTTGGGGCGCATTGTTAACTTGATTATCATCATTATCTGATAGGTGAACTCTCATTTGCAATTTGTTGCAATAAAAATCCATTGGACGTATTTGTGTTAGATATATTTCAAAACACGCCAATGATAAAAGTAATCTCATACCCTAACACCCCCCACAATGAAACATTATTACGTCACTGGTTATGGTCAAATGCATGTTTTTATCTGAACAGAGTTTAGTATACGTGACCAACCTGGCCGTATTATGGCGCCATCTTCTGGAATCAGCAGACTAAAAATTAATAAACTTTAAATTATGTGATCATATCTGAATGTACGATGTT